GTCGCTGGTACTCATCTTTGCTCTCAGTCACCACCCTCCTCTCCTCAGCAGTAAGAGCCTTCTCACTCTGGTTCCCTACGTCTTTGGACTTTTTAGCGGAGCTGGGACGACTAGAGACACTAGCAGATTGGGGTCTCTGACGCTGTGTGGGGAAATCAAACAAAGCAATACCCAAATTAAAAAAAAAAAGAAAACACATCCTAATGACATGCAATTCTTATTAGGACTTGTTTGTATGCAGTACCTGTTCGGATGTATTGGAACAATGAGACACGCTGAAAATGTCCAACTTTGCGCAAAACGATACTAGTTCCAGTCTGAGCTCTCTCACAAACCATTTTTAAAATTCTTGCATTACCAGTAGTCAACAAAAAGTTGAACATTTAGTTCGCAACCCCTTATGTTCAACATGCTTGAGGAATAGACAGAGGATTTTCTTTTTTAAATGGTTTTCAAAAGGCCGTCTGTCAATTTTGGCCCCTGATGAACAGTGCTTCAAGTGCTGTCATTCATCTGACCAAATGACTACTCACACATGCCCCTGCATTCACCCAACTTACCATGAACTGGGAACCAATGCGAACCTTCTGCAAAGAAAGGCCCCCAGAGAATGAACAGCACACAGTGCGCAAACAGAGTGGCACACATGGTGAGAGATGATGGAGGGGTGGTGTGCACAGCACAGCAGATGAGATGAGGTGAAGGAGAATGAGACAGTAAAATGCGGAGAGAAAAATCGGTGGAATCAATGTGAAAAAATACACCGCAGTACAATTCAGGCTTTACAAAAAGAGTAATTTTAAGTACGTATCATCAAAAGGATTGCTTTTTTCAAAAACAACCAGGTGCTTGAAAGCTTGTACAACGACTGTACCGTAAAGGCAGTGATAAATGCAAGGTGCTTAATTCTTGAAAGTAGCCAAGAGGCTGGGATTTGAGTTCATGCATCTAGGCTACAACAGCATATACTAAAATGTTTTCTTCACGAAAATGTACTTTGAAATTGAAACCATTTTGAAAGTGTTCGAAATATAATTCACAGCTGAAAAATACACAAGTTTAATGGGGAGAACTCATTCCACTGGGTCTAACACAGGTTGTTTTTACTCTCAACTACAGCCTGCAAAATTTCAGAAAATAGACACTGAGAGATGCAACAGACTGAAAATGGATATTGCCTAGAAAGGACGCTCCATATGGATGAAACCAGTCTACACAGATGCACTCAATATGTGGAATATCCCTCACTCTGTGAGAAATGATGAATTATACTTGTATGAATAAACACAAGCCCTTGAGAAACACATGACCTACCTGTTGCCTTAGCACGCTGCTGGCGGCCAGCTCCTGGTTGCGTTTGCTCTGCGATATCCGGCGCATCATGGGGTCCTGTGCTATGAAACCTGCGCAGAGGATATAACAGGGGGTACCTTTCATTGAAAGGTGTGTCTTTTTGTGCAACAATACCCCTGGCTGCGAACAAGTTTGAGGCTAATGTCAATAGAGCTTTTTCGCCCACGTGACTGGATTGCGCTAAATGTAAACACCACCACCACGTGTGGACCGCCTTGGCCACGGTGATCCCATACATTCCTACGGGCAGCTTCAACCAGATGTGAATGCTGCATGCTTGACTAGTTTATCTTGAATAAGTAGATTACCGTCACAACACATGGCGGTCCAGCACAATTGTGAGATCACAGAAAAAAAGGTATACAGGGACTGTTAGAAATCGAACACATGCAGGATGCACACGCACCTCAGGAAACATTCTTAAGTTTACAGAACAAATTATTAGCAATAAACCATTCACATCAAAAGTCCATGAGCACAAGCAAGTTTCTGAGAGTCAAGCACGATACATATCCTGTACATGTAGGTATTTTCAATAGACCCTATTCACATGGAGGCCATTATTGATCTTATTCCCCAAATCTCTTTTACATATTGCAAACTGTCGATTAGGATAGCACCAGACTGTTTTATACTTCCGTGCGTTCCAAGCCCCCCTTTCAATAATTTTCAATTAATTCTTTGTGTTCGATCATGAATTTAAATTATTCATCAGAGTAGACAGGTGCAAATCTGTCATGAAATTTCATTTTATTGCTTCAGTTGTACTCTCAATATTCAAAAATGAAGAGTTCACCTCGCTTTCAAATTCAATATGGCCGACCCAGTGAATAAAGTCTATAGGGTCAAGTCAGATCGAATAATTGACTGTTCAAATATTTAATCTCTAATTCTGAAGAACATTTGGATGTACCAAGCCTCTAGAGAAAGAGACATGGCTCACCAATAAACCTTTTGCAAGTTAAATTTGAATAAATCTGGTACACTGAGTGATCTGATTGCACTTAATTTAAACTTAACAATTTGAATTCCCCAGACTAAAGACAGTTTCTATACCTTGTGATTCGGGGCAAGATTTGCATAGAGACTAAGCAAAAACTTGCCCCGAATCACAAGGTATAGCAACAGTGTCTTTAGTACAGAGAATTCTAATTATGTTCACGTGAAACTAAAGAGCTAAGTGTACCAGATTTTATTCAAATTTAACTCACAAAGGGTTAAATGGTCCTAAGCGCCCACTATGCAATTGGCCCACTGGAATTAAGGAGCTTTTTTAATTTTCCCTTAACAAAACAGCACTTGACAATGTCAAATGTGACCAGAACCATATATCTATAAATATCAAAGGTATGCTTATTCAAGCCGGTCCACAATCTGAGCAACTGAGCAGCTGGCTTGCTTCATTTCAATATCAATCTACCATATTTGCATTCATTCAGTCATCACTTCAATTTTGCTAATGCATGATACACACGTGTTTGACAGTATCGACAAAACTCTCAATTCATGTATTAGGAACAGTATAGATAAAATATGTATTGGACCCTGAAACTCATAAAGTGACTTCTCAATGATCATGTAGACCAAGAATTGAAAGTCTATTCAATCTAAATAATATGCACCACTGTGTCAGGCAGCTTGAAAATATGAAAAATGAAGGAAAGCTACAGTCTTGCCTTACCTGCTTCATCCCTTGCTCTACAAAATTGGTCTGCCTTCTAGGCACAATGCACTTCTCGCCCACTACAACTATTAGCTTTGTGAGGGATATTTAGGATAACATACCTGCGAGAGATCCACTTACCAATCAAGCTAAAGAGATCGGACACCATGTTGGATTTGATCTTCAAGTCAATGGGTGCATCACTAAAGAGGATGCCAAAAAAAAGAACAGAAAATCTGTTAAAATTCCTGTTAATTCTGATTTAGTTCTGAATTTTTCTGGAAAGTGTCAAATTTATGTGTCCTGGCAAAGAAATGTTGAAGAATGCATGTAATGATAAATACATGAAACCATGCATACAGAGGGTGCAAAGAAAAACATTCAAGATCATTATTTGCTGATTTTTCTTTCTCGAATCTATATTTCTTGAGCATGCAATGGGGTCAAATCAAGTTGGTAAAGGGACTTAGAGCATGTTCTTGACACACATGGATTATGAATGACCCCTCTCAAAATTCTTTCCTTATCTTGGCCCAGCTTCTGGTACATATATGTGGTGTTACATCAATAAGAATATAAACTGTCGAGCATATACCCTGTGCCAAGCCAAGTCAGCAGGGTTGTACCAGTCAATAACCCCAGACATTACCTGAAATTTTAGCTGGTAACCTCATTTTGTTAAGCAGATCTTTTATATGCTTACCGAAAACACCTTTCCAAGCTTACAAGACCAATCACAGTTGCCCGGCCTTTTTTTCAAACGTGATCCACGATCAACCAAACAATAATCCATTCCTTTCCCACTCATCTCCATTAACTTCTCACCCCTACTTCACCTGACCCAGATGTGTACAAACTGTGCTACAGCAAAGTCCTCTTATGAGTCTTCTGCCGTGAATTTGCATTGATTGTTTGTCTAGGGTTAGTAGGCATACCGAGAAATGGGGGGAGGTCAGACTCACCAGGCTAGGGAGGGAGAGAGGTTGACTTCTAGCACCCAGGGTTTCAAGTTCTCATCAATGAGAATATCAAAGCCATACAACTCTGGAAGTAGGGGAGACAGAAGGGGAAGGGGGGAACACAAACAGATACAAACGCATCGATCACAAGGGTCTGCAAAATGGCATGCATGGTATGGATACCGCAGGCTTTCTGTGTAACGGATGATGCTATTAAGCACTGCTTCAAGGGTCCATGCGAGGAATTCCTCTTTAATCTCTTACGTACACAATCTTTAGGCAGCTTTCTACTCCTCTTAAACATGCGTTCAATTATCGTGTAAGGTGTACTTCTTTCAACATTTGACACTGTTCCTCCTTTTCCTGACAACTTTAGGCACAGATGCCATGATGTCATTCTGGGAAGACACTGTTCAGTTTAGGGATTGTCTGATAACACTGATGTATCCCAATTTTGCTCCTTGAAAACATGTGTGAGAAAGGGTTGCTCACTGACTTTATACTCTCATGTACCTGCACAATGAATCACCAAAGGAGAGAAACTTTACCCCAACAAAACACCTGAAATCCTAGAACTTTGTTCCGGTGGTGCCAAACCAACTATGGTATTAGGGCTTTCTGCCAAAAATAACACCACAGGTTTACTCATGAACATTGAAAATTCAAAATAGCATCAGCAAACCCTCGAAAATATCCTTCAAAATGGTAAACAAAAAATGAAAATAAATCAAATAGGACCTAAATGTGCATTTTTTATCCCCGAATGGGCTAATTACAAAAACTAGGCTTTTTTCCTTAGTCACAGCCGTGTTTGTGATGGCTAAATGCTATCGGTGTACTCCATTTTGTTTTTTTTTTACATTAGCCAGTTCAGAGTGAGTAGCTGAAGCTGACAAGAACACCTGTTCCTAAAACCGGCCTTCCACTCAAGCATTTCCTGAGAACACTTCACAGAGCGACACACAAGCTAAGCTTCCAGGTGTCATGACTGTGCTGTCCATGTGCTCTGGAGTATCATAGCAACTATGAATCTCTAAACCAAATTGCTCCAATGTGAATTTTTTTTTTCATCTCTGTGATCCAATCAATCCTGTTGTAAAAGAAATTCGCAAAGCTGAAGAAGAAATCTGCAACGTCTTGAAAACCCTTTCATGAATGTGATGATGTCCTTTCAAAGCAGCAGAGAAAAAAAATTTGAAGCAGCCCTCTTACACGCAGCTTATTTATTTTCTGGCTACACCTGCTTGTGCAATATTCACTTCACTATAAAAATCCACATTTTCTAGCCTGGCCTCCAGTGTCAACAGTAAGTAGCATGGACCACTAACAATTGAGTTTTGGAAGTATGTATGTACATGGATGAAATGGGTACAGATTGACAGCTGTATGAAGCTTATTAGATGTAATCTTGGAACTACTGTTATATAACCTAAACTAATTAATTTTATTAAGCAACTTCAGGAAAAAATAATGACCTACATGCAAAACAAATTGTTTCAATAGATTTTACATGAATTCATGGGGGCAAAGAGAAAACCTTATGACAAATCGTATCGAAACAGCTTTTGGAAATCAGAAAAAACATCCATTGACATAACTGAAAATGAGGGAAAAAATTCAGAGTGAGGGAGGGCTGGAGTTATGAGGGAGGGCTAATTTGTTGCTTTTCCCATAAAACAGAAATTTACTCAAAGTATCATCAGAATCCGAGTCAGACACTGGACATCTTTTTCTGAAATTCAGTCATCTAACGCCGACTGACTTTCTTGTCCCCCTCTAACCCCTTCCAACCCAAAACACCGCCATCTGACATCCCCTACCCCAAAGACTACAAACAGTGAAGTTTACCGAAACAATTCCCACGGTGCGGCATGAACATCTTGCAGGCCGTAGCTACGGGCAGCTCAGCACACAGCAGCGTCTTGCTGACAACCTCCTCAATGCGACCAAGCATACCTAGGTAAAAAGAAAAAGGGACAAACTGATCAACACATTTTCATGGAGTTTACCAGCCAATTCTAGTCAACGATAGATTTTTCTGCCTCGCAGAATACATCCACCCAAGTCTCTCCCAAGTTGTGAGATCACAATCGACAAATTCTTCAATGTTTTAAAAATCCAATTTATTGCCGACAATGTGAAGAAATATACCAAACTGTAACAAAGCTAGTCCAGGAAGGAATCCAACCACTGATCGTAGGCTTACAAAGCAAGCTTCTAACACCACTTTAATATGCATACTGCCCTGCCAGGGAGTTGTTTTTGTAATACTTAAACCCTAACCAACCCCCTTGGGTGTATGTAAAATCATATTGACATTGGAGGATTTGGGACTGTTAGGATTAATCAAGCACACTACCGCAACTGTATGCTGTCATGCCTTATGACCTTTGACTTGCTATGTACTATGCATAACCTTTGGTGCACTTTGCTCTGCCCCCAATAGTGAATACATGTATTTGGTACACAACAGAATAAAAAATTGTTTCCAGAAAGCTCCCTCCCCAACATAGTGTGTTTATTGGAAAATGTTCAATTCAAAGAACCAGACTATATTCTCCGATTTCATTCCGACCCCCCAAAATCACGTGGTACCATCCCATTACGGGTTTAAAATTTATACAGTACGTTCAGGAATACGACTGAAATTGGTAACGCCGCGAATACGGTCTATTATTTAAACTATATAGCGTCATTTTGTAACACCATAAGGCAGCCAAGGTCCTCCCTATGAGCTTGCCCAATATGTTAAGAGTCAATAAATCTCCAGACATTTTATGCCAGCTCCCTCATTTAAAAGCTGGTGGCATGCATCAACGATGGAATTACGGCTTGCTATTCAGGGCTGTGGTGATCCAGAGTTCGCCATTAAAGAAATGTTGTCCTCTTACCCTTGACATCTTTTCCTTTCTTCTGGAGGTATCTGACCATGGCCCCAAAGCTCCACTTGTTGCCGTAGTCTTCAATGTTCAGATCATTGCACCTGTTCATGGAATATGTCAGAATTTCAGTGGGCCTGAAAGTTCAGACCTGTAGGTTGTCGTGGGTTGGTAGAACTTTAATCTCAGTGGAACGGGGCACTTGAAGCAAAAAATGACAAAATTCGAAGATTGAAGACAATTTAAATAGCATGGGTTTGGGGTCAACCAGGAGTTAGGTACTATTAACTAAATGATGGGCTGTAAAGAAAGAGCCTAAGATTGTTTTCCAAACACAAAACGTAAATCTCTAAGTAATTTTCAGTGTCTTAAAACTCAAAGGGCCATTTTGGGGGGGGGTTCCCTTTAAAGTGAGTTGAATGGGAGTAGAATGTTTTGACACCTTAAATTCTGAGTGCTGTCACAGAAATTGATAAGGAAAACATTACTCAAGTGCCATCTTAACAATTCTGCTCTAGTGTGGTGGTAGCTATTAGTGATATAAGCCCCAAGCTGGACCAACAGAGGGCGCAATTTTCCTTACAACGGAAATTCCTTTATTGGCAACTGCAATGAAACGATAACGACTACAAAATGCACACATTACAGTAGCATCGCTACTCAAAAACTGAACACTCCCCACCATCATGGCTTGTTTCACCCATGAAGGGGGTACTCCGGTCAAGGCAGATAACAGCGGGAGAAATCACTCTTTACGAGTGAAAGTAACTAACAACTTTGCCCCACCTGACGTAGTCATTACTCCGCTTGTTGAGGCTGTAGTTAGTGAGATGCATCATGACGTTCTTGATGGTCTTGTTGGTGTGGTTGTACTGGACTGTGGCAAATCTGGTATGGGAAAGGAAATGATACCATTGAATGCACGACTATCGCAATGCTGATCAAAGTACAGGTATTACACACGAAGATCTAGAACATTTCTTTATGCTCTCTTACACTAATAACTGACTTGCCATTGGATTTACATACGGGAATGCCTGAAATCCATGTTGTGATTGACATACCTTGCTAGCCCCTCTTCATACAAGTACGCCCTGAGTGGGTCAAAAGATGTGACAGCGACGTACAATCTGCAGTCAAACTTGAAACCTGCCAAAACATACCATTGAGAAACAGTCTTGCGAAAGATTGCTCACGGTGACAATTTGTATCAGGGAAAATATCAGCGTTAGTTTACCGTTACAGCACTGAATAGTCCACAAAGGCTGCCTCGTGCTGATGTAAATTCAATTTCACACCACAAAGACACAAAAAATCTATCAGTGTTGATTGCCACAAATGGGTTTACAAGGGTTGGGTGTGGTAGGGGGAATTGCCTTTATCCTGGGGGAAAAAAGTGACAACTGAAAGAGGAGAGAACAAGAAATGAACTAAAATGGCTAAGCTGCCACGGTTCACTTCTTCATATGAATCTCAATTGTATATAGATTAATTCGATAAGACTTCATGTCACAGAGACTGCCAAGGAAATCATGCTAACAAAGTGAACAAAATTGACTAAGACAAGACTACATTATGGATTTAAAATAACTGCAGTTTAAAGGCTGCTCCCCTAACAACCATTTGTCTCCTACTCCACCCAAAGCAAACCATCCATCTCCAACTCCACCCCATCCCATCAATGCCCTACTCCACCCCATCCCATCCTCCCATCCATCTCCAACCCCATCCCATCAATGCCCTACTCCACCCCATCCCATCCTCCCATCCATATCCAACTCCAACCCCATCCAAAGCATCCCATTCATCTCCGACTCCACCCCATCCCATTAATCTCCAATTCCACGAGAATCCCATCATCCCATCCAGCTCCCAATCTGTCTCCCATCCCATCGGTGAGGTGGACAGTCAACAGGCAGAAATCAGTATCACATAATAATTGGGATGAGAAATCATCAATTTGCTCAAAATATTTCAGAATTGACCTCCTTCAATAGCGAATGATTTGTTAATTCACTGTGGAGCGCTTTAGCATTCCCTCCTCCAATGTGGCTTCGGATCTCCTTCACAATTGTACTGGTGTGCTCTAACCCGTCTCATAACACGAGCAAGTGCACAGGTTCAGTGACACACAACTGTTTAGGCAGTTGGCTCCATGCAAACGAAAGAAAGGCAGGTCAAAGGAAAGGCAGGTCAAAAGAAAGGCAGGTCAAAAGAAAGGCAGGTCAACAGAAAAGCTGGTCAAAAGAAAAGCTGGTCAATAGAAGGGCAGGTCAAAAGAAAGACAGGTCAAAAGAAAGGCTGGTTAAAAGAAAGGCAGGTCAAAAGAAAGGCAGGTCAAAAGAAAAGCTGGTCAAAAGAAAAGCTGGTCAATAGAAGGGCAGGTCAAAAGAAAGACAGGTCAAAAGAAAGGCGGGTTAAAAGAAAGGCTGGTCAAAAGAAAGGCAGGTCAAAAG